TTATTTTTTTTTAATAAAGCAATATTAATATCTAGAAGGTGTCCATTCTTTTTACTGAAAGAATGGAAAGTTGCAATTTCTAGATTTAGAAACAAACACTACATCAAAACATAAGCTTAAATTTGTGATTGTGTAAAAAGAAAAACAACTCATTTTCTTTCATGGTACGACTATGAACATATAAATACAACTATACAACAAGATCATTAACTAAGTTTTATAAATTAACTTTATTACTTGAAAGGCGGTAAAAAATGAGTAGAACAAAACAAATATTTTTTTTTATGAATTAGATTGATCGACACAAAATAGTATATAATATGCTAATATCATAAATAAACTAATATTCTCAATAAAACACTTATAATTTATAAGCATAAAAAAAACTTGAGTCATTCTCATCTAGTTACTTTGTTGCCAATATATTAGGTTAATCACTTATGAACGCAAGGAAGTAGCTTTCTTTTTCAACTTATGTAGTTACTTTCAATCCGCAACCAATTTATACAACTAATGCATAAAAAATTAAAGCTTCACTAAATAAATTAATGGGTTAATGTCACTCTTGCAGAACGAACTTTCTTAAATTGATTTAAATGGTTCCTTAACTTATTTTTTGGCTTTCTAAAGGCATAATGTGGATGCATCTCCTTATTTTGTCCTTTAACTTGAAATAATATGTCCACTATGTCATACAATAAGTTTGAGAAAAGGTGGATGCCTAGTCAACATGATGTAGCTGATACATGGCTATCCACTTGGACCTAAAGTTTATTAAGAGGGGAATGGTGGATTTCACTTACTTTCTTCTAATGAAATGAGGGTATTTGACATACTCCACCAAAACTAAGCAAACAATCACGAGTAGGGCTGTAAACGAACCGAACGTTTGGCGAACCGTTCGTGAACTGTTCGGCGGGAAGTTCGTTTGTGTTCGTTTATTTAATAAATGAACGAACATGAACAAAAATTATTGTTCGTTTAGTTAAATGAACGAACATGAACAATGGTCTCGTTCGTTCATTTATGTTCGTGAACGTTCGTTTATGATGTTCATTTACGTTCGTTTATGTTTGTTCGTTGAAGTTTATTAATATTCATCTATATTCAATTATTTTTTATTATATTGTTATATTGTATGTTCGTTTATGTTCATATATGTTCAATTGTGTTTTTTTTATCTTTGTTCGTTTATGTTTGTTCGTTTATGTTCGTTTAGCATGTTCACGAACATAAATGAACGAACATGAACAAAGTAATTTGTTAAATGAACGAACATGAACAAGAAAATCTCGTTCGTTTATCCGTTCGTGTTCGTTTGTTGTTCGGCTAACTTAAACGAACGAACATGAACAAGACCTTGTTCGTGTTCGTTTGGTTCGTTTACAGCCCTAATCACGAGAGATATATAGAGATGGTATTAATAAGGTTTTGAGAGAAATCTTTTTAAGCTTCCAATGAAAAGGAAATCGAGTATTAAATAAAGATGAAAAATATGGAAACTGATATTTACCTATATTGAATTCAAAGACAGCCATAATAGTACGACAACCTTTCTACGATTTGGATCGACCAATTTCCCAAGAATTAACTAATACCCCTCGTAAATTACTCCATAAACCTTTGAATTTCTTTCGGATTGAAACGAAACCCACAAGCCTCCACCTCACCATCATCATCGTGCACACCATATGTTTGTTCTAATGACGGAGAAATTAGTCTCTCTTTCTCCATGTTCTCTAATGACCCATGTTTGTTGCTCATTTCTATAGGTTTGTTGAAGACTAAACTTGCATCTATCATATGAAATAGCAACTGTGAACAGAGTTACAACCCCTTTACGTCAATTGTGATGAGTTTCCCAATAAACCCAATTAGATGGAGGATGGAATGAGCCATTTTTGTGTAAAAGCATTGGGTTTAAAGTGTGGAATCGAGAGGAAAGGAGAAAATGACACGATAACTTTGACTGGGAAAGGAAATGGAGTAGAATATGAATCTATATAAGGGATGTCACCTTGGTAAAAACTTGTTGACCAACAACTATGACATAGCAAATGTGTAACCGACTTACCCATTCAAATTTTCTCAAAGGACAATTTAAACTCGACAAAAATCATTGTATACCCCTTAAAATCTAGAAAATAAGTTGGGCCGTTTAAAACACTTTGAACGAATTTATTGCCCAACAATGATATTAACCTTAAATTAAGGTGGTGTTTGTTTTTTATTAAAAACTTCTTCAAACCACTTTGTGTTGCGCGACGCAACACACGCGCAACACTTTGTATCCCACTAATTAATCATTGATTCTCATTTAAAGTTCTAATAATATCATTTGTTACTGCTACAAATCGTATTTGAAGCAAACAGATAGCTCTCGTATTCTCTATGATATTCAATTCATTCGAGTATTAGTATAGGTAAATAGCACAAAAGACACTAAGTTTACACCAAAATTCTAATTTGACACTGTTTTATTTTGTCTCAAATCTGACACCGTGTTTTCCAATTTGTTATAATTAGAATTTTGATGTAAACTTAGTGTCTTGGGATGATGTGAAAAAATTGAGGGATGAATTAGATGATGTGGGTAAGAGGAAAGTTCGTGGGGTTAATTGGATTGAGATCTAACAAAATACCAAAGTTCAAAGGGCCTGTAATAAATTCATGGTTCAAGTTTCAGTGTAGTTCATGAGCAAATTAAAGGATGTTTGGGTTGGTTGTTCAAAAGAAAAATAAGAAAGGAAATGATTCATATATATGTTAAATTTATGAGATTAGTGGTTGCGGTTTTGGCTATTTTATTTAGTAAATGAGTTTGAATTGGATTGTTTTTATTAAATGAATAAAACAATTTTTTTGTTGTAAAATTTTTAGGTATAGTAGTCAAGTTTTAGAACAATTTACTTGACACTTTTTTTTCACTTAGGTGTTGTTTGTTTTTCCAAAGTAAAATTGTCTAAAGTCTGCGGACCACTTTTGCAGTTGTCTGCAACAGAAGAGGTGGACCAAACGGTTGCAGATTATAAAGAGAAGCGTGTTTGTTTTTTTTAACATCTGCAGGCTGCTGCAGATATTAAAAAATTTAAAATAAAGTGATTTAATAAACCGAAAATAGTTTTTTAATACCAAAAATTTAAAAATTATAGTCTTAAAACATTGAAATAAAATTCAAACAACCAAATTAGTCTTACAATAACATTTTAAAATAAAAATCATACAATCAAACTTTAATAATTCTCATTCCATATTTTGCATTAATTGTTCGGTAATTTCATCTTGTAATTGGGTCATATATTCACGCTCCGCTACAGTACCATGTGTTGGAATCTCATCTTCAACATTATCAACGACTGTATTGTTATTCCGAAGCGAGACATTTGGTTCATCATATCGTGCAAAATACTCATCACGTAGTCCCTCTCTTCTTATAAAATTATGAAACGTGAAACATGTAAGGGTAATGTTTCGTTGTGTAACCAACGAGAATGGTGTCATCCTCTTCAATATAGGGAATCGTGGTTTCAAGACACCAAAAGCACGCTCAATGACATTCCGAAGTTTTGCGTGTGCATGGTTAAATTTTTCTTTATTCGTCAATGCACGTCTTCGACGAAAATCTCCAAGCCAATACCTCACATTACGATACGGTACCATAAAACCTCGAATGTTTGCATAGGCGGCATCACAAAGATTTATCTGTAAAAAAACAAAAAAAAATCATTTATTTTTCAAACTAAGATAAAACTATTTAAATAACCATAAATTTACCTAATGGTGGAAACGAGAATGGTGCATGTGGATTTGCTAATGCTTCTGATAAAAATCTAGAATCATGTGATATCCTTTCGCAATCGGCCACAACAAACGTAAACATCATGTTGAAGTCACATATTACCAATACGTTTTGGTAGCAATCGCCTTTTCCCCTACTCCTATATAAATCTAGTTTGTTTGCGGGGACAACATGTATCAAAGTGTCATCATGTGCACCAACTGCTCTTTTGAACACCCGTCGTAGCCTCCAACTATGTCCCGAAATATTTGGATTCAAATTAAAAGAAATTGATACTATAATGTCATGTGCGAAAAGCAACATTTTGTCCAACACTTCATGAAAAATTTTATGAATTGTTTGCTTTGGGTGTTGAAATCTTCGCTTGATAATCACATATCGTTGGTTATGACCGATCATCATAAAAAACATAGTCATCTTTTCCTCAACTGATACATGTTTGCTATCCTTTAATGCGTAATTTACTCTAAAATGCACACATAGTCCGACAAATGATTCACGAGACATGCGTAGTACTTCAATACATTATAGAGAATTACGATGAAGTAACTCTAATGTAAATTCATGTCCCGTCATTTCTGAGTCGTTGTCCCGTACTCGTTTCACACCCCTCTTCCAAAAGTAGCGGGCGTACAGGTACATCAGAATTATGAGAAGTATTTTTTTTTTTGTCGTGATCCATTAGGAACCTATTAATCAACAAAAGTACCAAATAAAAAAAACATAAAACTCACGTACCAAATAACATAAAATAAAACTTAAGTACTAAATAACATAAAATAAAACTCAAGTAACAAATAACATAACCAAATTACCAAAATACATAACCACATAGTTCAAGTACCAAATACTGCAAATAATATTCAAGTACCAAATAACCACATACTGCAAATAACATTCACGTACCAAATAACCAAAAACATAACCACATAGTTCTAACACATGCAATTAACAAACAATCTTTCCATCCTTCAATACTCCTAAACTTGTAGTTGTTATCTCGATCCATCCTCTTAATATCTGTGGATCATTAGGCAAATTTACCCACATCTCTCTCATATTCATGGTCCCTCCAAAAGTATGATAAACAGAAAATCGTAGAGAGTCTACCGGGCCTAACTCGAGCAACTCTAGCTTCTCTAAACATTGGGGAATTGTTGGCCTTGAATCAAATGTTGTAGAGCTTTCTGCATCTCCAATGCTAAATCATCAACAGTAATAGAAGCTTTATGGGAGGCACTAGAAGGTGGATCAGGTGAGGCACTAGCAGCTCGATGTCTAGGAGTTGAGGGTTTAGCCTTTTGTTGGGGTTACAAGAAGGTGAAGCAACAGAAGGTGGTGGCAGAGTAAAAGTCTCACTAGTATGATTTGAAAAGAAATCATCCTCATCTATGTTAACAGAAGGGGTGTCCATAAGATGTAGTGGTGCGACATGGAAAGAAGATGATCCATGTCCCGATGGTGTTTAGGATGTGGCATAACTGAGATTACCAGAGGCACTATTTTCATCAAAGAGTTCTGCATAAAGCTCTAGAAACAACAATGGGACAGTTTTCAAAGAAGCGGCTTGGGGATGTCCTTAAACCCAATCAATGTAACAAAAGTAGTATAAGAATAAATTGCAACTATATAAACAAAATAAATATTAATATATTTAAAAATACTTTAAAAAGGTATATATATATATATATATATATATATATATATATATATATATATGATACTTGAGTTTTATTTTATGTTATTTGGTACTTGAGTTTTATGCTTTTTTATTTTATATTATTACGCGTTAAAGGATAGCAAATATGTATCAGTTGAGAAAAAGATGGCTATGTTTTCTATGATGAGCGGTCATAACCAACGATACGTGATTATCAAGCGAAGATTTCAACACTAAAGCAAAAAATTTATGAATTTTTTCATGACGTGTTGGACAAAATGTTGCTTTCCGCACATGACATTATAGTACCAACTTCTTTTAATCTGAATCCAAACATTTCAGGACATAATAGAAGGCTACGACAGGTGTTCAAATGAGCAGTTGATGCGCTTGATGGCACTTTGATACATGTTGTTGTCCCCGCAAACAAACATAATTTATATAGAAGTAGGGGAAAAGACGATTGTTACCAAAACGTGTTGGCAATATGTGACTTCAACATGATGTTTACGTTTGTTGTGGCCGGTTGGGAAAGGATAACACATGATTCTAAAATTTTATCAGAAGCATTAACAAATCTACATGCATCATTCTCATTTCCACCATCAGGTAAATTTATGGTTATTTAAATAGTTTTATCTTAATTTGAAAAATAAATGATTTTTTTTTTGTTTTTTTCACAAATAAATATTATCTTTGTGATGCCGCCTATGCAAACATTCGAGATTTTATGACACCGTATCGTAATGTGAGGTATTGGCTTGGAGATTTTCGTCGAAGACGTGCATTAACGAATAAAGAAAAATTTAACCACAAGCAAATCTTCGGAATGTCATTGAGCATGTTTTTGGTATCTTGAAAGCATGATTCCCTATATTAAAGAGTATGACACCATTCTCATTGGTTACACAACAAAACATTACCCTTGCATGTTTCCCGTTATGAGTATTTTGCACGATATGATAAACCAAATGTTTCGGTTCGGAATAACAATGCAGTCGTTGATAATGATGAAGATGAGATTTTAACACATGGTACTGCAACAGACCATGAATATATAACCCCATTACGAGATGAAATTGCCGAACAATTGATGCAAAATATGAAATGAGAATTATTAAAGTTTGGTTGTATGAATTTTATTTTAAAATGTTATTGTAAGACTAATTTGGTTGTTTGAATTTTATTTCAATGTTTTAAAACTATAATTATTAAATTTTTGGTACCAAAAAAACTATTTTCGGTTTATTAAATCACTTTATTTTAAATTTTTTTAATATCTGCAGCAGCCTGCAGATATTAAAAAAACAAATACGTTTCTCATTACAGTCTGTAACCGTTTGGTCCACCTCTTCTGCTGCAGACGGCTGCAAAAATGGTCGACAGACTTTACACAGTTTCACTTCGGAAAAACAAACAACACCTAAGTGAAAAAAATCTCAAATAAATTGCTAGAAAACTTGACTACGATACCTAAAAATTTTACAACAAAAAAAATTGTTTTATTCATTTAATTTGTTAAAGATAAAAACAATCCAACTCAACTCATTTACTAAATAAAACAGCCAAAATTGCAACCACTAATCTCATATATTTAACATATATATGTATCATTTCCTTTGTTATTTTTCTTTTGAACAACCATCCTAAACACCCTTCAATCTACTCCTAAAAATCTACTCCTAAACTACAACGAAACTTGAACCATGAATTAATTACAAGCCCTTTGGACTTTGGTATTTCCTTCAGTTATGTCTCAATCCAGCTAACCCCACAAACTTTCCTCTTACCCACATCATCTAATTCATCCCTCAATTTTTTCACATCATCCCACCTTCCATTTCCAGCAAACATATTAGAAACCATAATTTTGTAGTTGCTTCTCTCTTGTTCACCTTCAAGAAGTCGCTTACTCACAATCTCTGCCATTTTCGAATCATTATGTGCATCACAGCAAGAAAGAAGTGCACCCCAAATACCAGAATCAACATGCTCTCCCAACGAGTTAACAAGCTCATATGCCTCATCTAACTCCCCAGCCATACCAAGAAGCTTCACAAAATGAACATAATGTTCAGTCTTTGCTTCAATGCCAAAAATCGTCCCTCATTCTTCTGAAAATGTCTCGACCTTCTATAAGAAGACCACCGTGGGAGCAAGCAGATAGTAAAGCAGTGAAAGTAGATTCATCAGGTTTTAGACCTCGTTCAAGACCTCATGAAACACTTCAAAAGCTTCGGATGCAAGTCCGTAGAAACCAAGACTTGCTATTACTGAATTGTATGAAACTATGTTTCTCTTAGGCATTTCATCAAACACCTTGAGTGCCAAGTCCAAAAAACCACATTTTGAGTACATGTCTATCAATGCAGAAGACACCATGACCTCTAAATGTAGGCAATGGCGTATGGCATAGCCATGCAGCTCGACACCTGGTGCCAAAATGGCCAATTGTGAAGTTACAGCCAGTAAAATGGAGACAAGAACGGAGTCTGGCTTTTTACCATAGGAGTTCATTTTCTTGAAAGAAGTTAAGGCATTATGATACTCTCCAGATTGTGAAAACCCAGATATTAAAGCAGACCATGTTACTAAATCGGGATGCAATAAACCACTAAATACTTTATAGGTTGAATTCATACAACCACATCTTGAGTACATACTAACAAGGACACTACTTATGTGTATGTTAGAATCAAACCCGCTTCTCAAACAATAACCATGGATTCCTTGGCCGATTTCCAACAAACTAGAACATGTTAAACCCGATAATAACCCTACCATTGTATACCCATCGGGTTGATTTCCAATTCTTCTCATCATAATAAACAAATTTAGAGCTTTCTCCCAGTACCCACAAGATCCATAACCAGTAATCATTGTGTTATGTAAAACCAAGTCGTGGTTCTTTAGCCTATCAAAGACCATTTTTGCATCATCAACGAGGCCAAATTTAGAGTAAGCTGACACAAGTGCACTAGCAGTAATGGAGTCCAATCCCAAATCAGAAACAATTACTTGCCCGTGCACAAGCTTAAGAGCTTCAAGATTGAGTTGTTCGGAACAAGCACGTAAAATGCAAGCAAGTGTGAAATTATCAGGCTTTGTTTCTGAGGCTATCATTTGTTTGAAGAGTGTAAATGCATCAAGAAAATAATGGGTTTGGGCGTAAGCTCTGATGATGGAATTCCAAAGGTAGACATTTCTGTTAGGAGTTTCATCAAACAAGTTACAGGCAGATGTGAGGTCATTATTGATTCCATAAAACCTTATGATTTTAGTTGCATAAAATGGGTCATGGAAAAGGCAGGTCTTAATTAGTAAAGCATGAAATGATTTGGTTCTCGAAAGGGTGTGATTTAGCTTTGAGAGTTCAAATACAAGCGACTTAAAATGAACCAACATCAAGTCATTGTCCCCTTCCAACTCAACCTGTCGTTTTATGAAACCACATCATATATAGAGACTCGAAATGCAAACCACAATCAACAACAGAGTACTAATTTTGCTAATTGCCTAACAGTTTTGACAATACTAAAAGGGAAAATACCACAAAAGACACTAAGTTTACATCAAAATTCTAATTATAACAAATTGGAAAACACGGTGTCAAATTTGAGACAAAATAAAACAGTGTCAAATTAGAATTTTGGTATAAACTTAGTGTCTTTTGTGCTATTTACCTATACTAAAACTCAAATGAATTGAATATCATAGAGATTACGAGAGCTATCTGTTTGCTTCAAATACGATCGGTGGCAGTAGCGTGTAACAAATGATATTAATTAGAACTTTAAATGAGAATCAATGATTAATTAATGGGAATGATTGTAGATTAGACGCAAGGATGATGATCGGGTGGGTGCGTTTACTTGTTAAAAAGCAATATTATGAAATCTGTTGTTGGAAAGTACGGCTAAAACAGTCAAAAAATGCAGCAAAGTATAAAATTTTGATCAACCTTGCAGGTTCTGCATCTGCAGAACTTATTGCCAATATTGCCCTTTGCCCTTTTAAAGCAGTTGAGGTTCGTGTCCAAACAAATCTAGGATTTTCCAGGGGTTTCCTAAAGTTCATCAATGCTCAAGGCACTGCAGGGTAGATAAACCAAATCATGGTTCACAATATAAGACTCAAATTTGATATCACATATACAAAAGCATAATATATGACAGTTAATCTTATTAGAGTTACATATAAAGAGTTAAGTGCTACAATAACTACTGGTTAGGACCATTTCTATTGTTTCTGTGATGGTTTTGGATCCTATGAATCAGCTATTCACTTTCAAGTTAGAATATCAACTTTCAGATATCCATGTCCCTTCTATCATGTAAGTTTACTATTCCTCTTCTATCAGGTATGTTATTTTTTTATTCAATCCAAATCTTCAAAATGCATATCAGTAGATAACAACAGTAGATAGTTAGAATTAGAGAAACGATAGAAGAAAGAAAGAGAGGTATATGGAGCATACAGATGGAATTGATTCAGTTATTTAAATTTAATTTCACTTATATTATTTTGTGTAGAAAAATAAAATTAACAATAAATTTAGTTCCATAGCACCCATAGATAAGCTTAGTGAAAAAAGCTTTCCTGTAGTGGAACTATGTTGAGGTTTTTGGGTTGTTGAGTTGGCACTGATGTGGCTCGAAAAAAGCTTTACAATTAGCAGTCATATCCAGCATAGACAGTGTAAATTTTGAAAGGTCAATATTATGAACGTGTAGAGATAAGTACTCACCATAAAGAACATCTATGCTTCAACAATACAATATCTCTTCTCTTAACAATTGGAAATGCTGCTAAAAATCGATCCCTTTCTTCAAAGATAAAGGTCTTGGAGGAGCATATGAACCCTTCAAAGGCAAATATAACGTATCCATTATTTATTCATTACTCTCACAAACAATTCATTCATACATCCAATTCCTGATCTTAACATATGCAGGCAGTATAAAAAGTAGTCAGAATTTCTTTTACCTGAATTGGTGGGTTACTAATGTCATTATGCCCTTCCAGTTTACCCTATCATTTATGAAGCAGCATCATACATAGCACCTGGAAATGCAATAATTGACTAATATCAGTTGAAGAAATCCACAAGAAACCATTGGAGGTCTGTTCAGGTACATGCTCAATAAAACACAACTCTAGCACGAATCACCTATTTAATCAAAGAACATCCTACTAGTTCCAAAATTGTCAAACTAAATAAAAAATGGGGAATTAGCGTTACCATTTGATTCATTTCATTAGAATGAATGAAAATAGAGTCGCAAAGCAAAGAAATTTCACCCTTCTATATTACCGTTTTCCATATAAAACATGGCAAAATTAACTAATTCCCAAAACCCAGCAATATCGAGCTATACCTAACCAACCTTCATGAAATTAAAACGAGAAACTAGCCAAACACAATCAACCAGAGAGAGTATTAATTTTACGAATTGCGTCAAAATCCCTAAAACTTGACCGACTTGAAATCATAGAGCAAAAGAGAGCTAACTGTATGTAGAAGAAACGATTAGTAGCAGTAGCTGCTAGGATTGATGATTAAAATTGTCTTAAATGAGAAGCGATGACGAATTTGTGTGAATGATTGTAGAGTAGACGCACGGAGGATTGGGTGGGTGGGTTTACTTGTATGAAAAGAATCCACGAAACATTAGGGTGGACTCCTACAAAGAAACGAAAGGTGTTTGGATTAGATTTTAGGTTATTGCTTGCAGTTTATTTGTGTTGGAAATAAGCAATAATCATGAGGAGGGATGCTTATTAAAATTAGCTTATTTAGCCTAATAAACTAGATTTTATCCAAACACTAAAATTAGCTTATTGTGGGAATAAACAATAAGCACCTCTTATTTTCCTATCCAAACACCCCCTCAATTGCAGTTTTGGTAGGAAAGATTAGGATATATATATATATATATATATATAGAGAGAGAGAGAAAATATGATGGAAGTGGTGGAAAAGAACGTCAAATCGGGGTCAAAATTAGGGTTTTAAGGTATTTTTTTCCCACTTATTTTAGAGAATTACATGAGGATAAAAGTGATGGCCTTCGTTATATGTTAGGGAAAATGACTTTGAGGGTAATAAAGTGTTCTATAAGTACTCATTTGGTTCCTTATCTTTTTTTTATCTTTATTATACCACTGAACTTACTAATCCTGTTCACCAAAACCCTTGATACCGGTTGTTGTGGGTTACTAGTTATGTGGATATTACGTGGCATTATGTGCGATAAACTGGGCTTATTAATTGCAAAGTTGCAGGATTGCATCATTCTTGCCTTAGATCGACATGGATGCTTCTTCTTCTTCTTCTTCTTCTTCTATTTCTTCCAAACAAAATGCTGAATTTCAACCTGAAAATCCTTGTTACTGTGGGTTACCATCTCGTGTACGAACTTCACGAACTAAAGACAATCCAGGAAAAAAATTCAGATTGTGCCCTAACTCCATGGTAAAGCAAATGTTTTGTACTTTTCGTTTAATCTTCTTCACGAACCAAATGTTTTTTACTTTTCGTTTAATCATCTTTCTTTAACCAATTTGTTACTTTTTTCAAGAATGAAGGACCAAAATGCAAGTTCTGGGAATGGTTGGAGCCTAAAACCCCTGAAAATGAAGTCAATTCTGGGAAGGACAAAAAAGAACTGTGCAATTTAACCCTCAAAGTTTCTATATTGGAAAACGAGATCAGCATTTGTAAGATGAAGATGGAACAAGAAAACTTGGTTGTTAGACAAGAGTTTGAAAAACTCAAATGGAAGTTATTTACTCATAAAGTTGTGATGATTGTGTTGTTTCTGTTGTTTGTGTTTAAGAACTAGTTAGTTTAGCTGTATTCAAAGACTAAATGTAATCCTTAATGTTGTAATTTGTTTGATGTATTAAGACTAAATCTTTTTGATTAATGATAGTTTGATGTTTTGAGTGCTTTCCAAGAAGTATTAATGTGTTTAATAGGTTAGTGAATTGGACATGATGCATGGGTAAAATGGTCCATATTAAAGTTGGCAGTAATTAATTGTTAATGTGTTGATGTGATCCAAGGGTAAAATGGTCCATATTAACCACATTGGATACATCAAACATTTCTTAATGTATTAAGACTAAATATTGGCATTAATTAATTGTTAATGTCTTGATGTGATCCAAGGGTAAAATGGTCCAGATTAAATTTGGCAGTAATCAATTGTTAATGTCTTGATGTGATCCAAGGGTAAAATGGTCCAGATTAAATTTGGCAGTAATCAATTGTTAATGTCTTGATGTGATCCAAGGGTAAAATGGTCCAGATTAAATTTGGCAGTAATCAATTGTTAATGTCTTGATGTGATCCAAGGGTAAAATGGTCCAGATTAACAATAACAACAACAACATCAAACATTGCTTAATGTATTAATACAATCTACTTGATTTATGATAGATAATATAAGTTTAAACAATCTATATGCAAATAACCGTACACCAAAGCATATAGATAAAAGACAAAGTTGTAATATTCCATCAGCATTTGCACTATTACAAAAGTTATGCCCACAGTTGTCCTAATATGTCAAAAGATGTGCCATGTGCCATGATTCTTAAAGTTTTCCCAATTACATAATTACAAGACTAAAAGTTTGTCTTTCCAAAAAAAAATAAAACATAAAATCATTCCAACACCATTGGGTTGTGTCCAGTGCTTCCTTCTTTCTTCAAAACCTTCCTCCTCAACCCTATCTTGGTAATTCTTTCTGAGTATTTTCGTATCTTCTTCCTAGTTGCAACTGGTTGAGCAGGGACATCAACATTTGGATGTGGATCATCTACTTGAACTGGTTCAACATATGGAGCTGGATCATCAACTGGTTCAACATGTGGTACTTGAACTGGATCCACTGGATCTACTTGAATTGGTTCAACATTTGGAGCTGGTACTTGAACTGGATCCACTAGATCTGCTTGAACTGGATCCACTTGAACTGGTTCCACTTTACCTGCTATACAAATATGTAGTTAATGAGTTGGATGTTCCATTTAAATTATATTGTTTTAATATCATACCTTTCTCTTTTTTACATTTTTTAGGTTTCTTGTTTTTTGGCCTTGAAGTGGATGCTACATCTGCTGGTCTAGTAGGACATGTTGATCTATTATGGCCCCTTTCTCTACAAATAGTGCATCTATTAACTGAACCTGCTTTTGAGATAGTATGCCTTCTTTTCCCCTTGCTTTCCATCTCAGATTGATCCTTTTTCCTTTTAAGGGTTGGCCTTCCTGGTAACCTTCTTTTTTGAGGAGGCAATGGCTTCATGTAGGGAGCCTCAGGCCACATGGAACTACCATTAAGTGGGTTAATGGTATGGTTGTAACAAGTCAAGAACATGGTTGTATGGAACCATGGTGCAACATAATCCTCTGCATTCCTGTTGAGGTATGAAATGGCTGCCACTGCATGCACACATGGGATACCTGATACTTGCCAAGATCTACATCCACATGTGTTGTTGTTAAGGTCCACAGCATATCCATCATTTCCAATCCTAACCTCATATTTTTGTACCCCATAAGGTATAACTCCCAAAAATCTATCCACAAAAATAACAAATTCTATTAATCTACTAGATGACATATTAATACATATAAAATACAAGTTATATCATACCTTTGTTGTTTCTTTAACTTTGATATCTTTAATCTTATAGATGGGCATATTTTTAAATTACCCCAACTTTGTCCCTCTAGCAGCATTCTATACATCCTCTCCATTGCATAAATCCGAATCTCTTCCAACATGGTGAGGAGTGGTCTCTTCCTAGCAAGATCAATAACGGAGTTGAAACTTTCTGATATGCCATTCTCATAAGCATCACAAGCCCTGTCCACTTCAAAGAATTCCCTGCACCAACTTTTAGGGTCCCTTTCCATGAGGTGTTCATAAGCTAAAGGGTCAATTGTTTTTATGTAATTCATTTCTGCCTCAAATTTAGGTTGAGTAGTACTTGCAGCAGCTGCCCAAAACAACTTCCTATATTGTTCACCTTTGAATCTTTTCTTGAAGTTAGCATAGATGTGCCTAGCACATTGTCTATGCTCTGCTGCTGGAACTCTTTCTTTGACAGCCTCTACTAATCCCTAAAAGAAACAAGAAATGGATGACATAACAAAAAACATTGAACTCAAACAAAACATAAAAGAAAATATACCTTGTGTTGGTCTGATATGAGGGTTAATCCATGACCAATTCCCATTTCAATATCATCTAGTAGGAGGTCAAGAAACCACTTCCATGTTTCCTTATTTTCTACTGCCACCACAGCCCATGCAATAGGGAAGATGTGGTTGTTTGCATCCCTACCCATAGTTACTAACAGTTGGCCTCTACATATACCCTTTAAAAACAACCATCTACCCCTATTACCCTCCTACATGCTGCAATCCAACCATCCTTCACACCCTTAAAACAAACATACATTTTAGAAAAGTAAGTGGTGGAATCAGGCATGACATCCACATCTATCTTTACTGTTGAACCAGGATTTGTCCTCATTATTTCTTCACCATAACTCCATACTTTACCATAATGTTCTATCAAGCTACCCTCTATCTCATCCAAAGCATATATCTCCTAGCATTTCTACATTGAGTCACACTAACAATCAAGTTAAACTTTGTACTCACTTTGGCTTTCATTTTCCTTATGCTCATTTTGGGGTTCTTCAAAAGTTGTTCTTAAAATGTTTTCCAATCCATTTATATGTTACAATGGAACCAAGTTTGAAGACTCTTGAACAGTTATGGTCATCAACTAAGGACTTAATCTGGAAAGACCTTTCACTACTCATCCAGGAAGCCCACAGTCTAAAAGGACAAGAGGGGTTCTTGCTATCTTTACAACATCTCACTAATAACCTGTGACTATCATTTTTCTCATAATAAAGATTGTACCCATTCTTCACTGCATAGTTAGTCAAACAATTTTTCAATTCCATAGGGTTAGAGAATCTCATACCTAGAATTGGCACCATTTTGTCCCATTTCTGGTTCTCATTATGGACAGGGTACACTGGTTTGTCATCCCATTGTTGGTTTCAACCTCATCAGTTTCAAGCTCATCATTTTTATCCTTAGAAATACCTGACACCGGTGTAAGAATTCATCACCAACATTTTGTCAAGAGAAGGAATGTAACCATCTGCTTCATGCTCATATGGAATATCATCAAAAAGTTGTGACTCTTTATCATCATCCACGTCTGGCTCAGAATAATGCCCTTCATCATCTTCTACTACTTCCATATCAGCCCAATCAAGTACAAGTTCATTTTCGTGGTCTATATACACATTCATTGTTAGACCAACTTCATCACTATAACCTGTTTCAATAAACTCATAGTAGTCAGCATCATTCCCAATTCTCCTAATACCCTCTACCAATGGTTCATTTCTAGTGCAATAATATACATTATCGCAACTGCCTTCAATCAACTTTTCAATGAACAACTTAAAATCTTTGAGATCCATTCCACCAAAATCAACATCAGCGATTGAAACAACAACAGAGTTCAAGTACACTAATGGTTTTGGTGCAAATAAACCATTATAATGTACATAAACTGTCAAATACTTACGGAGTTTGGAATCGGAGGCCATCTTCTTCACTGTAACACTCGCATTCACCACTTCTCTTCAATTTCGTAACTGTATTCTTCGATTAAACCCTAACTGTAAGGAGAATTGGGGGTGAAAGAGTAATGGGTTTGCAACGTGGTCTAGGTCCACGTAATACGACATGTCATCTCTACTTAAATGAGATAACCGGCATAACAGGTGATAACCGGTATCGAGGGTTTTGGTGAGCAGGATTAGTAAGTTCAGTGATATAATAAAGACAAAAAAAGATAAGGGACCAAATGAGTACTTATAGAACACTTTATTACCCTCAAAGGTCATTTTCCCTTATATGTTATGTTGTGATTTTGAACATTTGTCACGTAATATTTTCTATATTACGCTTCTTGCCCTTCTAACTTT